GAGACCATCCTGGTCAACATGGTGAAACCCCGTCTCTACTAAAAATACAAAAAATTAGCTGGGCATGGTGGCGCGTGCCTGTAATCCCAGCTACTCAGGAGGCTGAGGCAGGAGAATTGCCTGAACCCAGGAGGCGGAGGTTGCGGTGAGCCGAGATCGCGCCATTGCACTCCAGCCTGGGTAACAAGAGCGAAACTCCGTCTCAAAAAAAAAAAAAAATAAATAAAGCCTTTATATGTGATCTTCCTTCAGAAAAAGGCTATGTTTAATAATACAAAAGAGTCTTCTTAAGATAAAGAGGGTGCAAGGATAGGTAAATTAAAGAGAAGAAGGGAGAGAGAAAGGAACATGTATGAAGATTTTCTTCCTTTAAGTTACATGTTTAAGGACCTGACCCTGATTTCTATTTCATGGCCTAGCACTGGAAGCTTCCAAGTAACTAATGACACAAGGATGCCCAGTAGGCAGAGATTAGCAGCTGAACTTCATTTACCATTAGAATATAGGGTAACTTAAGGATGAAATTATACAACCTGGATATTTAAATCGGCAGATTCATTTATAACCTATTCTTGCAACTCTAAACTGTTTACCTTGTACCATGACCCCAACTGCCACTCTAGACCAAAAGGCCAACAAATTGCTACTAGGAAAAATTAGAGACGAAGCAGAAAATTTCATTAAACTTTGTAACAAACCAATAAACAAAAAGTAATGGTCTCAACTAATGGTGCTGGGACAACTAGCTATCCATATACAAAAGAATTAAGTTGAGCCCCTTCCCCCATACTATACACAAAAATTGCCTCAAAATGGATCACAGACTTAAATGTGAGAGCCAACTCTATAAAACTCTTAGAAGGCGCTGACATGGAGTAAAAAAAAAAATTAAAAAAGAAAAAAGAGCCAGGTGCAGTGGCTCACACCAGTAATCCCGGCACTTTGGAAGGCGGGGGCGGGGGAATCACCTGAGGTCAGAAGTTCGAGACCAGCCTGACCAACACAGAGAAACCCCCATCTCTACTAAAAATACAAAAATTAGCCAGGCGAGTTGGTACATGCCTATAATCCCAGATACTCAGAAAGCTGAGGCAGGAGAATCACTTGAAGCAGGGAGGTGGTGGTTGCAGTAAGCTGAGATCATGCCATCGCACCCCAGCCTGGGCAACAAGAACGAAATACTATCTCAAAAAAAAAAAGAGAGAGAAAAGAAACTAAAACTCTCACAAGAAAACACAGGCATAAATATTCACAACCTTGGATTGGTTGATGGTTCTTAGATATTATATCAAAAGCATAAGCAGAAAAAAAAAAAGTTGGAATTGAGCTGGCATGATGGCTAACACCTGTATTCCCAGCTACTAGGGAAGCTAAGGCAGGAGGATCATGAGCCAGGAGTTTGAGGCCAGCCTGGACAATACAGGGAGATCCCTATGCGTAAAAAGAAAAAAAGCTGGACTTTGTTAAAATGAAAAATTTTTGTGCTTCAAAGGACACTGTCAAGAAAGTGAAAAGAGCCGGGCGCGGTGGCTCACGTCTGTAATCCCAGCACTTTGGGAGGCCGAGGCGGGTGGATCACGAGGTCAAGAGATTGAGACCATCCTGGTCAACATGATGAAACCCCGTCTCTACTAAAAACACAAAAATTAGCTGGGCATGGTGGCGCGTGCCTGTAATCCTAGCTACTCAGGAGGCTGAGGCAGGAGAATTGCCTGAACCCAGGAGGCGGAGGTTGCAGTGAGCCGAGATCGCGCCATTGCACTCCAGCCTGGGTAACAAGAGCGAAACTCCGTCTCAAAAAAAAAAAAAAAAAAAAGAAAGTGAAAAGAGAGCCCATAAAATGGGAAAAAATACTTGTAAATCATTAAGTCTGACAAGGAACTTAAATCCAGAATATATAAAGAAAACATATATTATAACCCAATAATAAAAAGACAAACCAACTGTTAAAAATTGGGCAAGGATATAAAAAGACACTTCTTCCAAGAAGATAGACAAATGGCCAATAAGCATATGAGAAGATTCTCAGTATCACTAGGCATCAGGGAAATGCAAATCAAAACTACAATTAATTTTTACTTTATACCCATGAGAATAGCTCTACTCAAACAGAGATTAGCCTGAGCTGTGGCTCAGACCTGTAATCCCAACACTTTGGGAGGCGAGGAGGAAGAATTGCTTGAGGCCAGGAGTTCCAGACCAGCCTGGGCAACATAGTGAGACCCCATGTCTACCAAAAAATTTAAAAAATAAAATTAGTTGGGCATGGTGGTGTATGTCTGTAGTCCTAGTTACTAGGGAGGCTGAGGTGGGAGGATAGTTTGAGCCAGGAGTTTGAGGATGCAGTGAGCTATCATGCCCACTACATTCCAGCTTGGGTGATAGACCAAGACCTTGTCTCGAGACAACAACAAGAACAACAATTAAAAAAAAAAAAGAGGTAATAACAAGTTAGTGACAATGCAAACTGGAATCCTTATTCACGCTGCTGGTGGGAATGTAAAATGGTGTAGATGCTTTAGAAAATCTCAAAAGAGTTACCATATGACGCAGCAATTCTACTACTTATGGACATATACACACAAAAAATGAAAACAGGCCAGGCACAGTAGCTCACAACTGTAGTCCCAGCACTTTGTAGGGGGAGGTGGGAGAATAGCTTGAGCCTAGGAATTAAAGAGCCTGGGCAACACAGTGAGAGAATCTCTCTCTAAAAAGGGGAAGAAAAAAACCAAAAAAAACGCCAGCATGGTGCTGCATGCCTGTGGTCCCAGCTGCTCGAGAGGGTGAGGTGGGACCATCCCTTGAGGCTGGGCGGTTAAGACTCCAGTAAACAATAATTGCACCACTACACTCCAGCCTGGGCTACAGAGCAAGACCCCACCTCAAAAATAATAATAGTTTAAATTGTTTTAAAAAGAAAAAAGAAATGAAAACATGTTCACACAAAAACTTGTAAATGAATGTTCATGTCAGCTTTATTTGAATAGTCAAAAACTAGAAATAATCCAATGTCTATCAGCAGGAGAAGAAATTTTTAAAATTGCAATATATCCATATTATGGAACACTACCCAGTAATAAAAAGTAATGGATTGATACACAAATAACATGGATAAATCTCGAATTAATTAGGCAAAGTGAAGGAAGTCAGACATCCCCTCTCCAAAGAAAAAAATAATATATTTTTAATACATGATGCTACATGATGCTATTTATATAAAATTCTAGAAATTGCAAATAATCCATAATGACAGATAGCATATCAGAAGTTGACTGTGGGATTAGAAAGGGAGAGATGGATTACAAAATGTAGGAAACTTTTGGGATGATGAGCATGTTCCTTACCTTAGTTGTAGTGTACACATATGTAAAAACTCTTATTATACTGTTTATATATAAATTAGATAGGGTCTGGCTGTGTTGCCCCAGCTGTAGTGCAGTGGTGCAATCTCAGCTCACTGCAACCTCCACCTCCCTGGCTCAAGCGATCCTCCTGCCTCAGCCTCCCGAGTACACACCTCCACTCTTGGCCAATTTTTGTATTTTTTGTAGACATAGGGTTTCACCATGTTGGCCAGGCTGGTCTCAAACTCATTGAGCTCAAGCAATCCACTCTTAGCCTCCCAAAGTGCTGTGCTGGGATTACAGGCTTGAGCCACTGCACCCAGTTCTGTTTACCTGAAATATGGGCAGTTTCACTGTATGTCAATTATACCTGAATAAAGCTATTTTTAAAATGCACGTTTGGTTTAAAAAAAAAAAAAAAAGTAGAAAAAGGATGGGTACAGTGACTCACATCTTTATTTCCAGCACTTTGGGAGGCTGAGGTGGGTGGATCACTTGAGTTCAGGAGTTCAAGACCAGCCTGGCCAACATGATGAAACCCCATCTCTACTAAAAATACAAAAATTAGCCAGGTGTGGTGGTGCATGCCTGTAATCCCAGCTACTTGGGAGGCTGAGGCAGGAAAATCGCTTGAACCTGGGAGGCAGAGGTTGCAGTGAGCTGAGATTGCGCTATTGCACTCCAGCCTGGGCAACAAGAGTGAAACTCCATCTCAAAAAAAAAAAAAGGAGAAAAAACAGGCTGAGAGCTTTTAAATATGACAGAACTTTTTAAAAATGAAAATATTTGGCCGGGCACAGTGGCTCATGCCTATAATCCCAGCACTTTGGGAGGCCAAGACAGGTGGATCACGTAAGGTCAGGAGTTCAAGACCAGCCTGGCCAACATGGCGAAACCCCATCTCTACTAAAAACAGAAAAAAAATTAGCTGGGTATGATGGCAGGCACCTGTAATCCTAGCTACTCGGAAGGCTGAGGCAGAGATGTGCTTGAACCCAGGAGATGGAGCTTGAAAAGCCAAAATATTTAACTGATCCTCACATGGTAATAGCTGAATTTTCAGCATCCATTGATGGAGAAAATAGTCAAAACACAACCAAAGCTACCCTGAATTCAGGCTAGCCTTTTAAAAATAAAGATTTTTTTTTTTTTTTTTTTTTTTTTTTTGAGACGGAGTTTCGCTCTTGTTACCCAGGCTGGAGTGCAATGGCGCGATCTCGGCTCACTGCAACCTCCGCCTCCTGGGTTCAGGCAATTCTCCTGCCTCAGCCTCCTGAGTAGCTGGGATTACAGGCACGTGCCACCATGCCCAGCTAATTTTTTGTATTTTTAGTAGAGACGGGGTTTCACCATGTTGACCAGGATGGTCTCGATCTCTTGACCTCGTGATCCACCCGCCTCGGCCTCCCAAAGTGCTGGGATTACAGGCTTGAGCCACCGCGCCCGGCCAAAAAATAAAGATTTTTAAAACTCATCTCAATATTTGTTTGAAGAATGGAACTGTATATACATACATACATATGTTTAGAACATATTGCTTTAGTCTAATTTTTCTCTTTAAGAAGGCAGGCAATAATTGATGAATATATGGATTTAAGAGCTCTAGATAACTGCTGAAAACATCTACCCCAACCCAAAGACTTGCAGGCAACAAACTGAGAACCACCGATAAAGACACCCAGTGCCAAGAAGATTCAATACAGCACTTAAATATTATCTTAAATAAATAAAATAGAAGTCTAATGAAAATTTATCTAATAGGTTCCCTAGCTATATTTCATAATTCAAAATAATTTAGAGATTAGCTGTAACACTGCTAACCTGGGTGCAGATAATTAAGAATTTACAGCAGGGCGAGGGGGCTCACACCTGTAATTCCTGCACTTTGGGAGGCTGAGGCAGGCAGATCATGAGGTCAACAGATCGACACCCTCCTGACCAACATGGTAAAGCCCCATCTCTACTAAAAAAAAAATACAAAAATTGGCTGGGCAAAGTGGCTCACACCTGTAATCCTAGCACTTTGGGAGGCCGAGGTAGGTAGATCACCAGAGGTCAGGAGTTCAAGACCAGCCTGGCCATCATGGTAAAACCCCATCTTTATTTTATTTTTTAAAAATATAAAATATATATATAAAAAAAGAAAAAAATACAATAATTAGCTGGGCATGGTGGCGCATGCCTATAGTCTCAGCTACTCGGGAGGCTGGGGCAGGAGAATCGCTTGAACCCACAAGGCGAAGGTTGCAGTGAGCCAATATCATGCCACTGTACTCCACGGCGTCAACACAGCAAGACTGCGTCTCAAAAACAGAAAAATAAATAAATAAGCCAGGCACGGTGGTGCACCCCTATCGTCCCAGCTACTCAGGAAGCTGACACAGCATAATTGCTTGAATTTCGGAGGCGGAGATTGCAGGGAAGCAGTGATTGCAGGGAGAAGAGACTGTGCCACTGCACTCCTGCCTGGATATCTTTAAATAAATAAATAGATGAAATTAAGTAAATAAACCTTCATAGATTATCTACATGATACAATCGAAATGTGCCTGAGATGTACATATGCACAACTGACTAGATGAAAATATCACTAACTTTTACTTTTCCAAAGTCAAAGGTAATCAAGGCCAGTCTTAAAGTTATGAATTTAGCCGATTTCTGTGTTCCTGGTTGCCCCAGCTTTGCCTTTATTCAGAGCTAAGCAGTATTCTACAGCTTTTCCTTCTTCTTCCCTAATTAAACTAGAAATGTTTCAAATTAACTGTAATTCACCTTAATACAATCAAGTTACCATAATTAAGATCTTGCTGTCCTACTCAGAGAATTCAAGACTTTGATCTTGGTTAAAATAATGAGGCATGGTAGCTCATAACTGTAATCCCAACACTTTGGGATGATCACCTGAGTTTAGGAGTTTAACAAGACCCTGTCTACCCACCCCCAAAAAAAAAATGGTTGAGCATAGTGGCTCACACCTGTAATTCCAGCACTTTCAGAAGCCAGGGCAGGTGGATCACCTGAGGTCAGGAGTTTGAAAACAGCCTGATCAACATGGTAAAACCCTGTCTCTACTAAAAATGCAAAAATTAGCCAGGCATGGTGGCACATGCCTGTAATCCCAGCTACTTGGGAGGCTGAAGCAGGAGAAACACCTGAACCCATGAGACAGAGGCTGCAGTGAGCCAACATGGTGTCATCGTACTCCAGCCTGGGCAAGAAGAGTGAAACAACCTCTTGCGGGGGTGGGCTGGCCAGGTGCGGTGGCTCATGCCTGTAATGAGCACTTTGGAAGGCCAAAGTGGGCAGATCACAAGGTCAAGAGATCCAGACTATCTTGGCCAACATGATGAAACCCCGTCTCTACTAAAAATACAAAAACTAGCTGGGCTTGGTGGTGCGTGCCTGTAATCCCAGCTACTCTGAAGGCTGAGGCAGGAGAATCACTTGAACATGGGAGGCGGAAGTTGCAGTGAGCCAAGATTGCACCACTGCACTCCAGCTGGTGACAGAGCAAGACTCCATCTCAAAAAGCAAAAATTAAAAAAAATTTAACTGAGCATGCCTATAGTCCCAGCAACTGGGGAAGCTGAGGCAGGAAGATCACTTGAGCCCAGGATGTTAAGGCTGCAGTGAGCCATGGTCATGACACTGCACACCTTCCTCCTAGGCAAAGAGCAAGACTCTATCTCAAAAAAAAAGTAAAGTAAGTTATCAGCAAATAAGTGGGGAGAAACAGGGTTTTCGTGGGTAGAGAAGGGAAAGTCACTAAACGTTAATTACTAATATAGCAACTCCTTGGTTAATACATTTAAGATGACTATGGGGTCTCTTCGTAATCCCATACTCCACTGGAGAGGACAAGTGGGAAGGGTTGGACTAGTTAAGGTTGCTGGGAACCTCCCAAGAGCTGCAGAAGCAGACATAAGTCAAATCTTCTAAATCCACAGGGTCCTTCCAAGGCTGTCATCCTCATTGCTTCTCAGCCTTTTGGCTCAGATCAAGTGTCTAAGGCTCTCATCCTCTAGGACTACAACTTCTCAGTCTACTTACTTGCCTTCTGACATGCTTTCTTGAGGGGAAGAAAACAAAGGAAGAGTTATAACAAGCAGCAGAGCTGGGCACAGTGGCTCACACCTGTAATCCCAGCACTTTGGGAGGCTGAGGTGGGGGGATCACGAGGTCAGGAGTTCAAAACCAGCCTGACCAACATGGGGAAACCCCGTCTCTACCAAAAATACAAAAATTAGCCGGGCATGGTGGTGCACACCTATAATCCCAGCTACTCAGGAGGCTGAGGCAGGAGAATCACTTGAACCTGGGAGGCAGAGGTACAGTGAGCCGAGATCGCATCACTGCACTCCAGACTGGGCTACAGAAACTGCAACTCAAAAAAAAAAAAAAAAAAAAAAAAAAAAACAAGCAGCAACTGCAGAGAACGAAGAATAAGTCCATGGGAAAGTGTTGCAAATAGAATCATCCTCCTTTACATGTCACTCCAGGAAAACTGCCAAGAACCACTCACTCCTCTAGACACACTTCCTGCAGATCCTCCCGACTCCTCCTTAAGCATGTCAGTATTCTCCTTATTCTCCCTTCATTTCAATCCTCCTTTTGCTTCAAGATTTTGAAGTACATGTTTTATAATCTCCAAAATATATGGCAGTATTGTACCAAGTATTTAATGATAACCTACCGATCATTACCTGTGTGTCGCAGCTGAACATATACCCTAAAGCCTTGTATAGTATTTCTGCCTCTTATAATAAAATTTATGTTACATTATTAAAACAAATTTCCTTTGTCACTAAGGGACGTATTATAACGTCAAGATTAAAAAAATAAGATAGTGGCCAGGCGTGGTGGCTCACGCCTTTAATCCCACCACTTTGGGAGGCCGAGGAGGGCAGATAACAAGGTCAAGGGAAATCTAGACCATCCTGGCCAACATGGTGAAACCTCATCTCTACTAAAATACAAAACATTTAGCCAGGCATGGTGGGGCACGCCTGTAGTCCCAGCTACTCGGGAGGCTGAGGCAGGGGAATCACTTGAACCTGGCAGGCAGAGGTTGCAGTGAGCCAAGATCGTGCCATTGTACTCTAGCCTGGCAACAGAGCAAGACTCCATCTCAAAAAAACAAAAAAAAAATTTTTTTTAATTTAAGAAGTATATTGTTTTATTTCTCCCCACCCCTATCCAGAAAACATAAAAGGAGGGAGGGAGGCAGAAAGGAAGGTGGGGAAAGGTTGAGAACTACTGGGTACTATGTTCACTATCTGGGTGACAGAACCAATCATACCCCAAACCTCAACATCACACAATATACCCACATAACAAACCTGTATATATACTCTCTGAATCTGAAATTGAATTTTTTTTTTTTTAAAAAGGGAAAAAATCAGCCAGGTGTGGTGGCTCACACCTGTAATCCCAGCACTTTGTGGGGCTGAGATGGGCAGATCACAAGGTCAGGAGTTTGAGACCAGTTATGGTAAAACTCCATCTCTACTAAAAAAAATACAAAAATTAGCCAGGAGTGGTGGCACACACCTGTTGTCCCAGCTACTCAGGAGACTGAGGCAGGAGAATTGCTTGAACCCAGGAGGCAGAGGTTGCACTGAGCTGAGATCATGCCACTGGACTCCAGCTTGGGCGACAGAGTGAGACTCCGTCTCAAAACAAATAAAAGGGGAAAATATTAGAGTTCAGAAATCAGCAGAATTCAAGATCTACTCTCCAGTAATCAAAACCTGTTAAGCACAATAAATGTGTTTTGGCAAGTCCAAAATAAAATGTAACTTTTCAAGTACTCCATTATATACTTTTTTAAAAAACGTGATTAGTTTAGAAATTTTTAAAGCAAAAAAACTAGATATAAAGGTTTTATACTTTCACAGAACTAGATTTTCTGTTACCCACATTTCCATTAGAATTTATTGTACGACAAGTTGGAGAGCAGGAAGCAGAAAAGCAGATCAGAGACTAGTATAAAACAAAACAAGGCTTCTCTGAATTAGAAAATAAACTTAATTAACTAGTGTTAATTGAACTTCCATTTTTTCAAATCACTTCCCTAAATAAAACTTTGATATGTGAAACTGAGTCTCACTAAAAAGCATAGGAGCACATAGTTTCTTTGGGATTTAAAAACCACCATTTATTCAACTGTAGATAACCAAATCCCACTGTAAAATGATTTGGGCAATCAAAGCTATTCCTAGCTAAGTATAATCAGATGAACGGTAAGTCCACTTACTAAAACCAGGTAATCAAACTGCTCAGTGTTCTCAATTATGAAGAATGAACTTTTCTATTTGTCACACACTCAAAGAAGGATTTTACATTCTTCCATCATTTGGTGCAGAACTGAACGATCTACATAGATGTACCATGACTTAAACAAAAACTTTAGTGGTAGGAATAATCCACTGAACTCAATGCAAGAAATCAAAGCTTTCCTTCTCAGAACTTTTGTCACAGAAAAAAATTAGTAAATTTGTTTTGTGAAAAGACTGCATCTGCTTTGGAACTCAGACATGCAATGGTTGTATCCCTTGCAGTCTTCCAAATGAAAATAAAAATTTTAAGGAAATATAATCTGAAATAAAAATAAAAATGATTTTTGAGAGAGAAAAAAATAATCAAAAAAATCCTGATGCAAAGCTATAACAACAGTTTCTTCACAATTTCATAAAACATTAATGAAAGGGTTACATAATCCCCTGGATTAAAGATTTTAAAGAAAGCTGCAAGGATCTCTTTCAGTTTTCAATACTGCTTTCTCTGTTCTTACAGCCACTAAAACATATCTAAATCAACTCCTAAATATAAACCATCTAGCTTTCTATAGAAGACAAATCAAACCAAGTGCAGATAAAACATATATATTCTTTTTAAAAACACACTGTAAATTACATTTAGGTTCCTCAAACAAGTTTACAACATGTACCACATCCAGTTTATTCTCAAGGGAGAAAACCATCAAAACAAAAGCTCAGCTTAAGAAATGATATACTTTGTAGTTAAGCCTCTATCCCAGGTGCATTTTGCTGTCACGTATTATCACTATTTCTTTTCTCTACAAAAATCTAGAAATTGTATATCTAGTTCCTTTAAAAATACCTGTGTATTATATGTTTTATATTTAGTGTAGGGACAAGAAATGCTTAATACTGTTACTCTCTAAAAAGGAAATATCTTTTCATTTTTCTCTTTTGCAATGTTTCTTACCTTGTTTTTGCTTATTTTCTACACATGAAATTATCTCAAGCCAGTCCATTTCAGTGTCAGTTGTTTACTGTCAATATGTCTGTGTATACTCAGGCTTTTATAAAGCTTTACAGTACAGTGATAAAAAAGAAAGGGTGAACAAGAGGGCATAAGTGAAACAAAAGTGGACCACATTTGAGAAACCCCATTCAACTTCTCTGCCTCAAATTCCCTTAAGTTCTCATGCCAAAGTTTCTCAACATCCAAAAAAGTTCCAGAGTCAGAGGCATAACACAATATGCGACAAGACAAACACAGGAGGAACCAAATCTGAAACTGAAGAAATTTAAGGAAATGTTAATACCTCCCCCAAAAAAATAAAAATAAATAAATAACAAGCCCAACCTCTAGATACTGGGTGGGAAGCTGCTTTCGAGACACTGCATGGCTCAAGGTTTTTCAAACTTTTTTTGAGATGGAGTTTCGCTCTTATTGCCCAGGCTGGAGTGCAGTGGCGTGATCTCAGCTTACTGCAACCTCCGCCTCCCAGGTTCAAGCAATTCTCCTGCCTCAGCCTCCCAAACAGCTGGAGTTACAGGCACACACCACCAAACCCAGCTAATTTTGTATTTTTATTAGAAACAGGCTGGTCTTGAACTCTTGACCTCAAGTGATCCACCCACCTCAGTCTCCCAAAGTTCTGGGTTTACAGCCGTGCCCGGCTTTCAAACTTTTTTTTTCTTTTTTTTTAAAGAGATGGGGTTTCACCATATTGGCCAGACTGGTCTTGAACTTCTGACCTCGTGATCCACCCACCTCAGCCTCCCAAAGTGCTGGGATTACAGGTGTGAGCCACCGCACCTAGCCTTCAAACTTTTTTTTAACTGTAAGAAATGTATTTTATCCTTTGACCAGAAAATAAAAAAAAAAAAAAAAAAAAAAAAAAAGAAAGAAAAAGAGAGAGAAATACACTTTACATTGTAAAGTGTACATATATGTAGGACAAAGTATTTCCCAAAACAATACTTTTCCTTATCAAGTGCAATGTCAGTGCATTCTGCTCTACGTTTTATTTTCAATGCTAGTAAAACAACACTGATTTTATAAATTATTAAAAAATCACAGTCCACAGTTTGAAAAACACAGGCTTAAAAATGGGTATCCTTTGTAAAAGGATCTTTTTGGTAATTTGCCTCTACCTGACTCTTTAGCAGGATGAGCAGGTATTTTAAAGCTGCTACCATTATTACTGATTTCATTAAAGTAAGTGGTTCTTAAAGTGTGGTCCTCTAACCAAGGTGATCATCATTTGAGATAAATATAAATTATTGGGCTCCACCCCAGACCTACTGAAACCCCCAGGTGAGGCCAAGCAATCTACAGTTTACCAAGCCCTCCAGGTGATTTTGATGCAAGCTAATATCTGGGAGCCACCCCATTGAAGAAGTCTTTATCTTCTGTTTAGCAATCCAGTACACACTACTATGTGCCAGTCACTATCCTAAAACCTCTACAAATACTAACTCACATGAAAAAAAAAAAAAACCAACACCACCTAATAAAGTAGGATCTATTACTATTAGCATTCTGATGAGCAAACTGCACAGAAACTTAGCTAAGTGGTGGAACTACAACTCAAACTTATTTTCAGTTTAGCAAAGTATGCCTATTCTTTTTCTGATCAAGTATCTACTTCCACTCCTTTAGTTCAGCTACTCCTCCCATCTCAAATTCCCCACCCTGTCAATGAACTTACTTCCAATATTACTGTTATCATTCTAAAACAAATTTCTTTTCTAAAACACTATAATGCAAGTCATTTAACCTTGCTTTTAGGAGATTTTCTTTGGTCCTAGGTGGCATCTTAGCATTAATTATGAAGCTGAAGTTTCTTCTATTTCTGAAGACCTCTGAACCTATTAATGGCTCTACTGTTAATTTCTCTTGTATCCAGTGTCCTAGCCAGTTCCACCAGATGATTACTCTCTCCTCAGACAACTTTCTTTCTCGTCCACCTTATCTACTACTCTCTCCTGCAGGGATTATTTCTCCCCTACCCCCGCCACCTCCATTCCATTTTGCACGACTCCTCTCCAACTGAAAGAACTTCCACTTCCCTGCTGGCTCCTCACCCCAATCTCAAACCCTAGCCACTCCTCGAGGACTTCTTTCCTGGTTCCCTGGGGATCCTCAGACCCAGGAGCTGCCAGGCCGGTTGGGTCTCCCATCCCAGCCCAGCTACGGGGAGGGGGGGACAGGGCGCTCCGGTTCCTCCCTCGTGCAGTTCAAGGTCTCCACCCGTCCGACCCTCCCGAGACTCGCTGCTCCTCATCTCCCCCAGGAGCCCCCACCCTTAGGCAGCCGCTTTTCTCAGTAGGGTCCCCAACCCCCTCCGAGCGTTTCCTCAGACGCCCCTACTTGGAGCAAGTCTGCTCCCTGTCACCCGGGACCCCGGCCACCCTTGGTCTTCCCACCTCCCTCAGACCGGGGCCACTCCCCGTTCCCCTGCCCCCCACCCACCCCGCTCCCACCACACGGGCCGCTGCCGGGCTGCCTGGGTTCCCCTTCTCCCTGGCACCCAAGCTGTCCCGGGACACCCCAAGACACCCCGACCTCGGAGCAGGTAGTTACAAGTCACCCTCCTCCCTGGGACCCTGTCCGCTTCCGTCTCCTCAGAGACCTATTCCTCACACACTGGCCGCCGGTCAGTGCCCCAGACCGGGGCAGCTAGACGTCCCAAGGGACCTCCTGGCCTGACCCGCGTGTGTCCGGCCCCAGCCTACTTTCCTCGGGCGAACTCCACAGCCAGAAGCCCAGCCATTCTTCCCCCAGCCCAGTCAGCGCGAACTCGCCGCCGCCCCCGCCGCCGCCGCCCTGGCCCCGGCCCCGACTGGAAGTCCAGGCCCCCTTCCTCCGGCCTCCGCCTCCGGAGTGCTAAGCTGGAGATTCCACCCCGCGACGGCCCCCAGATCTCTGACTCGCGTTACCGGCACTCACCTGCCGCTGCCCCCGACCAACTCCAGAGCCACTGCCTCTACCTCGGCCGCCAGTGGCCACCAAGCGCCACCACCTCCCCCATGACAACAGGCCCACCCCCTTTCATACTTCTAACCTATCCATTGGCTAGTGGGGCGGCAGTTTTCCTCTTTGATTGGCTTAGTATACCCGCCCGTCATCGCGTCTTTACCTCCCCTTTTCCTGAACCCGGTATTCGCCCCCGCCCGGACCTGGAGCGTCCTAGCCCAAGCTTTAGTTGTAATTGGTTGAGGGTTGGGCATTTCGAAGTTATGATAGGCTGCCAAAAATGTCTGTTAAGCTAACTGGCAAGCTATGTGACGACTAAAGTTGATTCAAGCTTGTACACAGTTTGGTTGCACAGTAGAAAGCAAAGGCGGGGCAAACGCTCACATCCGAGGTTACCAGGGAAGGGTTAACTCTTTGTTGTAGAGTTTTCTCTGTAAACTCTTCCACTTCTCCAGCTCCTTTCCTACAAGGAGAAGCTTATCTCTGCTCGCTTTACTCATAGGTAGTACTTACAAAACACTAACATCAGAGGCTGTGTTTAAGAAGTGTTTGTAAGCTCTGGGGAGAAAGATACCTTAGAGATAGAAATGTTCCCTTTTTTTCTTTGGATGCGCCCAATTTCATTGAAGTTCTTTCCAGGATCCTCCATGCTAAAAGGCAAAGCGCAACCTTTCATTTAGCAGAAATCAGTCAACTTCGGTTGCAATTATAAACGTTGTCAATAAACTTAAGTGGTTTGTTGGGAGTTATCCAGCTTTCAGCTCCATTCCTGCCAAGTGGCCAGGCAGCCATTAGCAACTTTCTTTTTCTTTTTTTCTTTCTTTTTTGAGACGGAGTTTTGCTCTTATTGCCCAGGCTGGAGTGCGGTGGCGCTATGTCGGTTAACCGCAACCGCCGCCTCCGGGTTCAAGCGATTCTCCTGCCTCAGCCTCCCGAGTTGTTGGAACTACAGGCGCGCCCCACCACGCCCGGCTAATTTTTAAATATATTTTTAGTAAAGACAGGGTTTCTCCATGTTGGTCAGGCTGGAGCTCCCGCTCTCAGATGATCCGCCCGCCTTGGCCTCCCAAAGTGCTGGGATTGCAGACGTGAGCTACCACGCCCGGCCCGCAGCTTTCTAATAAGTGGACCATATTATACCCTTATAATGCTGTGGAAATTAGAATTCCGCTTCCCCTACCTCTCACTGCCGCTTTGTTTTTCTGTTCAGCAATTCTTAAATAGCCCTACTAGCTGTGTGTCAGATACTTTAAAAGCTTCTCTCATTTTATTTTTTCTAAACCTCTTCCTAGCAGTCTAAATTAGGGCCATTGAATGAATTGCCGGGTTGTGTGTTGTTTTTTTTCCTCACTTGGCACAATGCACAAGAATAAATGATTACATTTTTTATTCACTTGGGTACAAATCACAGTAAGCATTTTGAGAAATCTAGTGTTGCTATAAAAACTCTTGTGCTCCTAGAAATATATTCATCATTAGCTTTTTGCTTTTCTTTTTTTTTTCACCCACTTTTCCTGCTCCTAAATAACAAAATGCTGGTCTGATTACTCTTTCAATTTCTAAATCAGATTTAAATGTACCTTTTCACAACTCCACTTATGATACACAAACCCATGGGCCATGAAACATGGCACCCAGGGATGGGTTAAGACACTGTTGGGGCATTTGGCGGCTCACACCTGTAATCCCAACACTCTGGGAGGCTGAGGCAAGCAGATCACTTGAGGTCAGGAGTTCGAGACCAGCCTGGCCAACATGGTGAAACCCTATCTCTATAGATCGAGTCACTGCACTCCAGCCTGGGCAACAGAGCGAGACTCTGTCTTAAATTTTAAAAAGAAGAAGAAGACACTGTCAAGGAGGCATTCCCTGAAGGGTGTGGAGTTTGGAAATTTTGCGCTTTGTCTCTTTCTTCTTTCTGCTAACTCTTTGTCTCATATGTATTCTATTTGCTAACCTCCTTGTTCTTTGCAGAGCAAGTTACAAGGCATCTAAAACTGGTTTATTATTCAGAAAAATATTGTATATTTTCTAATCTAGTTTAAATAAAGTACATACTTCTATCACCAAACTAAACAGAAATTATTCCTCCAGTAACTATACATAACAATAAAGTGCCTTTTCCTAGTTATTTTCCGGAACTTTCCTCCCCCACCTCTCTTCCTCACCTTCCAATTTAGAAATAACCACCCATTCAATTGAATGACTCACAAAGAGCCTGTGAAAGGAAAGTGGAAAAGCCAAAATAACTTAGAGATGTCTGAATCACTCAGTTGAAGGAAGGATCAGACATTGACCAAGATAAGATAGACGCCAAGACATAAGGCAAGCCTGGGCTAACATCCCATAACATATGAAGTAATGCAAACGTGAAGATGCCCCAAGAAAAAGCAAATACCAGTATGTCCTTTCACACAGCCTTTTAATATATCAACAGCAGCTTGCTTCTCTCTAGGCTTGGCAGTGTGCCATACTACCAATTTTAGAGCAAGTTAGAAGACAATTAGTGTCCTGACAGATAGGAAACAATAACGTCATAGAGGGCATGATCATTATTATGGTGCTTTGGGTAATAATGGTTCTTGCACAGCCTCAGTGACTAGGTGCCATAGAAAACATAGAATTAGGCCAGCCTTCCTAAGTGGACTTGCCATCTAAGTTTAGGAACACAGTAAAATTATTATCACAAAACTAGGTGGAAAATTGTCACAAAAGTCAGTCGCTATTTCATACACTAAAAAAGAAAAAAGCATGCATAAATGCTTTTGCTCATACACACATGTCTATCATTCCTATTCTTTGTGATTATCAGTTAAGAAAGGACATATAAAATAAATGTTATAACCCAGTAAGAAGTAGGAAGCCCTTAAGGAAGGTTTTAAGGAACATGCCTTGACGTAACAGAAAGCTACTGTGTTATTAGACTGTGCAGTACTGGAGGGGTTATTGCTTGTATCCTACATTTTGCTTTCACGGGCACAAGGTAACCCTATCATGTAATTACTCCATCCAGCTTCTCTCTTTTCTTTCCTGTGTTTTGTGCTTCTCCACCATTCTCAGGGCTCCCTCTCAGAAAGCAAGAACACTGGAGTCTGGGAGTCTGCAGCTTCTTGTTGCATGGCTGGCTGTGGAGGTGCTACAGATGGTATCTGTTCAGAGCCACTTGGGCACAACCAAAATGGCAGGTATATTCAGGGCAAAAATAGCATTTATAAATCCCAATTAAGCAGAAAATAGAAGACTCAGAGTGATGTCCAATATCTGAGGAGCAATATGGTGTGCCTTGGGCTTTCCTGTATACTAATGCTGTTTCTCCTGCTCTCTTTCATATGTCACTTTTCAAGAGAGAAGAGTCCAAGTCTCCTTTCATTTCTATTTTAGCCCAGGGGGCAGTCTTACTAGGGAAAGGCTCCATTTTTTGCTTTTGGATTTTTTTCTTCTGGATTCTACACACGATTCCAATTCCAACCAGATTAGAGAAATAAACAACCGGTGGAGAAGAAAATCGCTCAGATAGCAGACAAGGGCCAGAGCTGCCTGCCACTAGCAGTTGGAGGCAAGCCAAAATATTTGATAAGAGGTAGTTTCCTGAGTTAGGGATTCCTGAGGGTGCAGGCTGACAAAGATGAAGGGATTAGAGAGAAAGGGAGGGGAAAGGAGGGAAGCGGAGGGGACAAGGAGGCAGGAGAGAAAAGGGTAAGAAAAGCTAGAAAAACAGTTAAGAAGCCCAATCAGAGTGCTGAGCCAGCTTAGAGTCCTACCTCGCCTATCCCCCACCACCACCCATGTGGACTTTATACCAGGTTGCATAATTACACCAGCAAAGTGCAGCCTCTGCCACTGGTTAAAAGGGAAAGCCTGCCAGGCTCCAGCCTATGGGACCGTTGTTCTGTTGCCACCTGGAATCCTCCCAGAGCTCAAAGCCTGCTGCTCTGGGCAAAGCTGACAAGGAAGGACGGATTCATGCAGCCAACCAAGGAGCATATCTTCATTTGTTTCCCTTAAGGTGACCACTGGAAAAAAGCACTGGTTAAACAAAGGGAGACTATCTGGGAGAAGGTGTTTTTACCCTTTCAAGCTGGGGCACTTTCACCCCAGGGAAGTGCCACGCTGCTTTCCACTCTGGAACAAGGCACTGTGATTTCAAAGTTCAAGGTTCTGTTTCATGGATGGGAAGAAAAAAAATCAGTGAAAGGAGGTGTTCTGGTCTCTCAGGCAGAACCATTTGCTATCTGATTCCAGAGCTCGTGTGATTTTTAAATACCACACTATGACTTTTCATTACTAAATGCATTCATTTTCATCCTCAAGAAAATTGTATGCACCCTTCCACCTGCTTTACATATTATGGGTAAGATGGCTGGAGTGCTTGTAAAAATGGATGGACTTGTAGCTCTTAGCTCTGCCATTGTGCTATTGACTGGAGCTCCTGGTTACTATCACCAGATCTATGGGTGGACCAGCTATTCTTCTGCAGCAGGGAGTGGACCCACTCAAAGCACTTAGCACCATATAAACTTTTGTCCATCTCTGTTTTACATGCACACAAAGAGTTTCCTGGAAACATGGCTACACTCCAAGGATTTCAGAGAGTAGAATTCTTCTAGAACTACGGTGTCCCAATCACTTGGAACCTCATGAGAAAGCAGACTTAAAGTCAGACCCTAGAATCTAATATGTTCCAAAAGCTCTGGCTCTGCCATTTACCAACGGCATGAAACTTTGATTTATCACCCTAAAGCTTCATTTTCTTCATCTATAAAATGAGATATGGATTAGAGATCTTGTCTTGCATAATAAATTATCCCAAAATTTAGTAGCTTTAAACAACATTTATCATCTCACAGTTCTGTAAGTCAACCCTCTGACTTTGGGTCTCTTATAAGACCACAGTCCTCTCGAGCTCAATTGGGACAGATCTGCTTCCTGCCTCATTCACCTGGTTATTGCTGGCAAGACTCACTTCCCAAGGCCTTAGTTTCCCAGGAGCTGCTGGCCAGAAGCTTCCCTCAATGCCCTGCCTCATGGGCCTCTTCGTAGAGCATCTCACAATGTGGCAGCTTACTTCATCAGTGCAAGCAAGCTCGAGCAAGAGAGAGGACCCACCAAAGAGAGTACTAGCAAGACAGAAGGCCCAGTCTTTTGTAATTCAATCACAGATGTGACATCCCATCACTTTTGACACATCCTGAGTTAGAAGTAAGTCATTAGGTCCAGCCCACGCTCAGTAAGTCATCAGGATTACACAAGGATGTAAAGACCATCAAGAGGATCATTAGAAGCAGCCTACTCTAAGATAATAATAATAATAATACCTAGGGTTTGTTTAAAATTTAAATTAGAGCCTGCACAGTTGGCAGCTACTTGGGAGGCTGAGGTAGGAGGCTCACTTGAGGCCAGGGGTTCGAGGCCAGCTTAGGCAGCATAGTGAGCCCCCTCCATCTCTTAAAAAAAAAAAAAAAGAAAGAAATACGGCCAGGTGTGGTGGCTCACATCTGTAATCCCAGCACTTTGGGAGGCCGAGGCAGGTGAATCACTTGAGGTCAGGAGTTCAAGACCAGTCTGGTCAACAGGGTGAAACCCCATCTCTACTAAAAAGAAAATACAAAAATTAGCTGGGTATGATGGCACATGCCTGTAATCCCAGCTACTGAGAAGGCTGAGGCAGGACAGTTGCTTGAACCCAAGAGGCAGAGGTTGCAGTGAGCCAAGATCGCACCATTGCACTCCATCCTGGGCGAAGAAGCAAGACTCTGTCTTAACAACAACAAAAAAAGAAATATATGTGTGTATGTTTTTTAAATATACAAAAATCAAATTAGAGAATATGTTCAATTCATGGCCCGCATATGTTATGCAATATATAACTGTTACAGATAACTATTATTATCATTAATGTTATTATTGGGTATATAATGGCTGGTTTTCTCCCCTAGCTCCTAGAAGGAACCCTTCTATGAGGAGTAAATGAAATAATATACATAATTCAGGACCTAACATTTAGTAAATGCTCAATAATCATTAGTTATTATTAACATTATTAATAAATGTGTGATATTTGATATTCTTTCCAAGCTACTGGAATGAACTCTCGTAACTTTTCCAGGATGGCCTTATTTCCATATATTTTGTTCAGTTTTTTTCATTAGCATCCTATAATTGCCAGAGCACAATTCCAGATTTGGGTTTCATAAAATATGAGCACCAAAGCCGTGACACAGTCTAATTTCCTGTCTGCCCTATACCAAGAAGGGTACGTCCAAAACCAGTAAAATGGGCTAATTATGGCAGCACCTCCTACATGCAGAAAAGTCGGAGCCTGGCCCCATCCAGAATCCAGAGAGAAGGGACTGTGCCTGGGAGAATGAGCAGAGACTTGGCTATGTGACCTTTGTCCCTTTCAAAATATGCTTGTCATTGTGCAATCTACTGAGTCAATCCTCCACTAAGAATGAGAGTCAATCCTCCACTAAGAATGAGAGAAAGAGGGACCAACAAGGCCCTACAGATGGGATAAGGGTGTCCAAGAAGACGTTTTCACACCTGGGTTGAAAGTAATATGAACCAATAAAAATAAAGAGCAATTTTGCAATTAGAAAGTTGGAAGAAGAGAGTCCAGTTTGCAACATGAAAGAAAGATCACTAAGAGGCTGGAGTCATCACTTCAGGGCTGGGTTGAAGCTGTCTTCCTTATAAAGGTGGAGGATATTGAGGGTTGGCCTGTGGCCAGGGAAAATGAGGAACTATAATCAAGAAAACCCCATTATTTTGGCTTTGAGTCATTTCTCAGGGCTCACTCATAATTATTACATAAGAAAGATAGAAAAAACAAAAACCTACTAAAGTGTAAATGATCCTTAAACCAAAGACACTGTAGAAATACAAAGACCCAGGCCAGACACGGTGGCTTATGCCTGTAATTCCAGCACTTTGGGGGTCCGAGGCGGGCAGATCACCTGAGGTTGGAGTTCGAGACCAGGCTGATCAACATGGAGAAACCCTGTCTCTACTAAAAGTACAAAATTAGCCGGGCATGGTGGCACATGCTTGTAATCCTAGCTACTCAGGGTGGGGAGGGGGAGCGGGGGTGCTGAGGGAAGAGAATCGCTTGAACCTGGGAGGCAGAGGTTGCAGTGGGCCAAGATGGAGCCATTGCACTCCAGCCTGGACAACAAGAGTGAAACTCCATCTCAAAAAAAAAAAAAAAAAAGAAGAAGAAAAAGAAAGAGATACAACGATCCAAGTCTTTGCAACTTATCTTTCTCTGACTGTTTCTTCTTCTCCCTCCCATATTTGCACATGTTCTTTCATTTCTTTTCCACACAGAAGAAAACTATCCTTACAAGGAAATGCCTTAAGATCCTTTAGGCTGGAACTGTTTTCAGATCAGGAGTCATCTCTTGCAGTCTCCACTGCCTGTCTCTCTTGGACTTCTGTGGACAGGATTAGAGCTCAACATTCACAGATAATAACAGTTTACACCTCTGCCTCTAAATGAGGTGTAAACTCATTTAGACTTCACTGCCACCGTGATTTAAAGAGGCCGACTGATTTTCTGAGCTGCACTAGCCCTGGCCCTGTCTTCTCCTGAAATGTCCCAAACATTACCAGATTTGTACACAGAAAGCCTGAAAGCAGAAGTTGCTGGGAAAGTTCTGTAAACATGAAGAGGAGAAGTGCACCAATATCAAGTTCCTCTTCCTGTGGCTCTGGTTTTCTCTCCTTCCTATTCTGTGTCTCCTCTGTGTCTGGGACAGAGGATACTTGGTTTCCATACCTCTTAATAGTCAGAGAAAACCTTGTTCTGCCCCTTGGCAGGTTAGTTTTTGAGGGGTAAAGAGATGAGGACTTGCCCCCAGGAAGTCTGCCTGTGCAATAGGAATGATGTATTTATTTATTCAGCCCTTTCCTCCACTGCAGCCAGAGCAGCAGCCATTTCATTTCGCCCTCAGGAAGTGTATTTAGTGGTAAGCTTTCTTTCTTTTCCTGTTAGTTTCCTGCAAAAGGACATCAGTGTCCTCCTCATTGGAGCAGCTGATAAGGATGTTGTTGCTCAAATAGAGACAGAAAAACGTATTTCCTGTCGCAGACCTAGGCCATCCCAAGGTCATGGAGAATTAGACCAGGCTGCAGAAATAACGGAAGAACCTGATTTTCGTTGCTATTTCCCTGGTGCGGTCTCCCTCCCTGAAATACTCTGCAATAATTACACCTTCCACTTAAGTAGGATTTCACACTTTTCCAAAGTAGCATCACGTTGTACAGAAGCAGAGTTGGCTGCACTGTAGTTGGCATAGCCTATTAGTTACTTTGGAGGGTTCATATGAAGAGCAACTTTGGAGGGTTCATATGAAGAGCAACTTTGGGTTTAACTTTACATCTTGGGGAACTCATACAAATAGCATAAGTTACCCTAAGGTGGATTCCATTTGCTAGCTCCTGCCCATCCTACAGATCTTATCTTCAAAGTTAATATTGTGGGGGAGGCTTCCTGGTACCCCTCTCCCAGCCACATTGGGTTGGGTGGCCCTGTTATACACACTGCCCTTCCACTTTGGAATACACATATCCCATGGGTAAACCTGCTTCGTACCTATCCATCCAGCAACACGTTGGCACTGTAATACCAGGGACAACAGCCTTCCTGCTCATGGCTGCCTAGCACAGGGCCTGGCCCACAGTAGTTCACTAAATACTTAGTGAATGAATAAGTCAGGAATTGTCTCTAGGAGCAGCCTTGCCACCTGACACAATCATTTATTTTGGGGTGGTGCTCTACAAGTTATAAAAAAAGACATGCTAATTATCACATAATGATCACTGGTGGTTACAGTAATTAGAGCACAGTGGTGGAGTATGACTAAATAAAGCTCTCCACCAGGTGGGGGGCTATCCCTGCACTCTGAATTTGGACTCCCACTGCCCATCTCTCTTGGACTCCTGTGGACAGGGTCATTCCTTTGGAAAATTCTATTTGGAGTTGCCAACACCGGGGAACAGGGAGAATTAAGCTCCATTTCCCCAAACTCAGTGAAATCTTTCTGATATGAAAAATTAAAGAACAAGGTAATTGGTGGCCCTCTGCTGCTTTCCTTTCAGCCTCTGAGACAGATTTCCCCATCAAGGGTTTGTGCTGAGTCATCCCTCCTCCAGCAAAAACTAGTCAGCAGCACCCTGAGGATGGGTGATGGAGGTAAAGACTCATCCTGCTAATCTTCTTCTCCCACGGAGGCCAAGGTTTGTGGCCTTCGCCCCCTCCCTGGGAACAAGAGAGCAACCCAAAAGAAAAGACTCTTCCTTCCCACTCCTCTCTTTCTTACAAACTCATGGTCTGTGGTTTCCTCTTTCTTCTGCCAATGGAAGTCGAGGATAGAGATGGGGAGGAGGAAGAAGAAACAAAAGGGCACAGAACTGTACTTTGCTGGCTGCGGGGAGGTGGAACACATGGGTGAGGCGTATGAATTGGGATGAAGAATGACAAGACATGAAGAATCCTTTGAGGTTCTCCAACAATTCTCACATCCAGGACAGCTAAGGCACAGAGCAGTTGCAGGGACATCAGGGAGCCCAGAAATGTAAATAGTGGGAGGTGATGACAGCAAAGAAGCAGGCAGATCTTTGTAGCAGGCCCCTACAAAGAGCTACGCCCTGTGGGAGAACCACAAACTGCCTAAGACTGGGTAACGAGAGAGTGGGCGTTCAGTGTGAGACCTTGAATCAGAGGCCCACGCTCTATATCTAGCTCAGTCTCCAATTTGTGGGGAGGACCCGGGTGAAAGATGAATGTCAGAGATGTGGCTTAATCAGCTGCCTATGGGATGGGCACATGTTTGGGAGATCCTTTGAAATCTCTAGATGAAAGGAAATGCCAGAAAAAGCTATCATTACTTTGAGTGCTGATCATAGAGCAGCCAGAGCATGTTTGAGCTCCTATAATGGAATCAGAGACTACAGTATTTTCATATTGTGCAGCCCAATTTCTGAAGACCAGTTTTTTATTTTATTTTATTTTATTTATTTATTTTTCTTTAAAAAACGGGGTTTCACCATGTTGGTCAGGCTGGTCTTGAATTCCTAACCTCAGGTGATCCACCTGCCTTGGCCTCCAAAGTGCTTGGATTACAGGCGTGAGCCACCACGCCCGGCCCAAGACCAGTTTTTTAATAACATCAATTGAGAACAGGTCAATTGTGAGGTGCCCTAGGAATACAACCAGAAATCTCATCACTGGAGTATAGAAATTTCCAACCAGGCTCTAGCAAGTTATCTATGCAGACTGATTCTAGCCAGGCCTAACTTGCCTAGGGGGATAATGCAGAGGCTATGACCTCGTGACTCGTCTCCTTTTCTCTCCTCTCTTTCTCTCTTGCACGTGTGCATAAGGCAACTTAGAAACATTAACTCGCCAAAGAATACTTGGAGATTCCCAAATGATCACCCCAACTGTGGCTCTTCATCTA